CTGTCTCCACATATGACCTTCACCGTTCCTCTGTGTGGTGGCCTCTACCCACCGTGGCCCCCACAGGGCCTGGCTCGGAACTTAATTATGGCCGCATCTAAACCAGTTTAATCACCGCATCAGTAAACTCTTCTCCAGTACGGAGTCCTTTGCTCAGCAGGCTGGCCCCCAACCCGGGGCCTTTCCTACCACCATAGGTTCCCTCTTGCTGCTAGTGTTTGCTGTCATGTATCAACGCTGCCCTCATACACAACACTTTTTATGGTGTTTGTGTGCAGTAGCATCTCGTGCTACGATAACCAAGTGCCGGTATAGACCGGTATAGGCCGGTATGGTGCGTTGACGGCGTCGATAGTAAGCATGGGCATGCAATTCCCAGGAACCACCACGGTGGTTTCGGTCCACAGGTTTTCCCCAGAAAGCGCTATATTCCCATGTTTTAGGAAATTTGCTGTTTCTTGACCTGAATCATTTACATTAGTGCAATATCCCTAGTGTTGTCATGGCCCAGTCAGGTCGAATTAATTTATTCAATACGACATTAGCTAGCCGAGTCGGTCCCTCCCAGCATGCGACTGGTTGCATGGCGCCCCCAGCAGATGCTGCTGAAACGGGCTGTGAGGCTGCTCACATGCGCTGTTGTGCTTGGAACACGTTTGCACTTTGACCATTTTTGCATTAACTTATTTCGAAGATGCTTCTATCCAAAATAATGTCCGATCGCGAAAGCAGGGCCAGCCCACCCCTAGAACTCAGGGGCAGAATCACACCGACCATGGGATTGGAACCAGTGATATTCTAATCATGGGCTTTGAGTCCTAACCCACTGGACCGCACACCGCTTTAAGCTGTGTTCATGTGTCACCTCCTGTAAGGTTTGGGATGCTGATCCATAGATAAAAGGGCTGTGGACGTTGTTGCTAATTGGGTTTTGGGTTCCCGGTTAACGCTGCTAATTCGCCCTCTCAGACTGGCGTTGGAGCACGCATACCAAACCATCTGCAGCCCTAGCAAGAGGGGGGGGCTCTGTCAGCTGGGCTGAGCTTTCGGTTTTTGTGAGATGTTCACTCAGTTGTGAACTAGGCTGTCTTGGGCACAGTAACCGTCATTCTTAATATTTCTTTCTGGTTCCACAACTGCTGCTTTTATCTCTCTCTGTGGCTGGATGTTTGCTGGAGCGATTCAGCTCGAGTGCCTTTTTTTAAGAGCTCTTCAGTAGGACCTTCAGGCTTATGGTCCTTAACCATTACGCCACCTGCTGTAATGCCAGCTCTGTAAACCAACACCGCTACTGTGTACATTGCGTGTGTAGAAAGCCTCAGCGCCATAGCTGATTTTATCGCTCCTTCAAACTATAATGAGCCATTAAGTCATGGCCTTCCCGCTTTAGCGGAATGCTAATGCCATTAGCGCTGTCATGAAATGGACCGTACCACTTAAGCAGTGGGGGGGGGATATGGAGTCAATGAGCCAGGATGAGGAGGCGATCCAGTAACTGCTGCTGCTTCCCTTCACGAGTGTTCCCCCCGCCCCCCCCAGACGCCAAAGCCTGTGGCAGTGACGAGTTCCAGTGTGCCGACCGCAAGTGCGTGGCGGGCTCGCTGCGCTGTGACGGCGACGATGACTGCGGCGACGGCAGTGACGAGGAGGCGTGCGCCGCGCCCACCTGCGGCCCGCACGAATTCCGCTGCGACAGCTCGGAGTGCGTGCCGCTGCTGTGGAGCTGCGACGGCGACCCTGACTGTGCCGATCGCTCCGACGAGTCTGCGGAGCGCTGCGGCACGCGGCGTGCAGCTCCTGCCGTCCCCGGGCCCCGCTGCGGCCCCGCCGAGTTCCGGTGTGGCAGTGGCGAGTGTGTGCGCCTGGCCTGGAAATGCGACGGCGATGGCGACTGCAAGGACAAGTCTGATGAAGTGGACTGCCGTGAGTGTCCCCGCCCCTCGCTGACCATGTGACCCAGGCCTCAATCATTCACACCCTACAGCACCCCCTTCTGGAACCGTGTGTAACTGCATGCTGTAAACATGATATGTTGATAGGAAATTAATAAGATATTAAAAGCTTATTCATACACAGGTGTTATGCATTAATGTGGTGTGTTGTGATACTTATACATATTGTATTAAGTATCACATTATTATTATTATTATTGTTTATTTATTATTATTATTGTATCCATCCATCCATCCATTTTCAGTACCTGCTTGGTGTGTTCAGGGCCGCGGGGGGTCTGGAACCTATCCTGTAGGCTAAAGGCGCAAGGCAGGGAATAACCCAGGATGGGGTGCCAACTCATCACAGGGCACACTCACACACCAGTCACTCACACACCAGTCACTCACACACCAGTCACTCACACCCACGGGCAGTTTGGTAACTCCAGTTCACATTAACATGTTCTGGGACTGTGGGGAGAAACTGGAGCACCCGGAGGAAACCCCATGATTACACGGGGAGAACATACAAACTACATGGAGCCATGCGGAGACTCGAACCCTGGTCGCATATTGTATTAATTAGTAGTAATCATGTTTCTGGACTGAAGTATTTTATATATGAGATGTTATATATGAATGGATCTTGGATTTGACATAGACATAGACATAGACATAGACATAGACATAGACAGAGAGACAGACAGGCCTGGGGGCTTAATGATGACACTTTATTTCTCAGCTTGTGGCAGGCACACATTTACAGCACTCGTCCCTGTGTGCATTTGCCTCCGGTGCTCATTAATAGGCAGTAATAGGTACGGCTTCCCCCTACTGCTCCCCAGTCGTCGTGGTGATGGAGCGGTTTATGATCCCATGTCCCGTTTCTGTCCCTCCCATGACTGACAGAGTAGCCGTAAATGGATGTGACGTTTGTGGAATTGGTTCAGTGGCTGATTTGTTCACCTATGATGAGATGTAATGCACAGCTAATGAAGACTGAAAACAGTAGAAACGATTCAGGGCTGTCCCCAGTAATGCTTGTGTGTGTGCGCGTATGCGTCCTTGTGTGTGTGTGTGTGTGTGTGTGTGTGTGTGAGCCTCAGGGCCTCTCATCGCTCTCCTTCATCATTCCTTCATCCTTCCTTTGATGTATTTTGAGTTCTGCTGTGAATTATTTTAGCCATCAAACGTGCCACCAAATGAATGTGTTCACTCTCCATCCATCCCAGAGTGTTCAGCCGTGTTGTGATCAGGGCTCCCTGTCTGCCGCTTTGGTTTCTCCCCCGACCTCCGCCGTCACCCTTCCTCACACTGACCACTGCAGTTTTTGCGTCTCTTCCCGTCTGCATCTTGAACACCGTTCTCGTTAGCACTCCAGGCATAAATTATCGAGCTATCGCGTGTGCGATCAACGTTGTGGAAAGCTTGTTTTTGAGACTGGTCGGCTGTGCCGCGGGAGAGGTGAAAGGTCATGGGTATCTTTAGTTGGGGGAGTATGACACTGGGGGAACTCTGGATGGGGCAGGAAACGTGGATGTTGAGGGGTTGCTAGGCAACCCTTTGATTTCCCCTAACATTTTAAGAGTCCTTGAGTGTAAAGCGGAGCAAGGGGGCGGGGTTAGGACCAGCAAGGAAAGCAAGCTCTGCGGCAATCTGTCGCTCCTGACGGCCGTCTGCCAGCCTGATAAACAGCTGTGGGTTCCAATATAATGTGCCCAATATATAAGGTGTCAAATTAGCCCTGTTCGTTATTCACTGTTTGTCTTATGTAGCAAATGATAATCTGATGGCAGGCAGAAACACTGTGTGCAATTCATTACCAGCACACAGTCGACTTTTAATAAAAGTGTCTTTCATTTTCATGAGATTTGGTACTCGCCACTGTAATTTAATTTGAATAATAATTCATACAGGGATAGTTTATATAAAACTGGTGCTCTTGTGTTGTAATATATATTGAATCTGGGAATTTTGATACAGTTTTTTTTTATTTTGGATGGAAATTGTTCATCAGTTTTCTGTGCTAAGCGCCCTGGTGGATGTGTCTGAGAGATCTGGTATTGTTTTAATAATATTCATTTGTATCGTCGGAGGGGGTGAGCCTTGTGCTTGTCAGCCTGCCACAGATTCCTCCAGGCTGATCCTGTTGTTCAGGAAATGTGGAGCCTTGTGTGGGTTTTGGGGTGGGAGGCGAGGTGTGAGGGGCCGCCCATTTTTAGAGCGAATGCACCTGTTTTCCCTGCAGCCCTGCTGACGTGTCGCCCTGACGAGTTCCAGTGCGGCGACGGCTCCTGCATCCATGGCACCAAGCAGTGCAACAAGGTGCACGACTGTCCCGACTCCAGCGACGAGGCTGGTTGCATTAACGGTGAGCGGCCATCAGCCAGCACGGGGTCACGCGGCGGAGCTGAGCGGCTTCCTCACGCTTCTTCACATCAACACCCCCCCCCCCCCATAGCCACCAAGTGCGAAGGGCCCCAGAAGTTCATGTGCAAGAACGGAGAGTGCATCGAGGGCAGCCGTGTGTGCGACTCTAACCGGGACTGCAAGGACTGGTCCGACGAGCCGGCCAAGGAGTGCGGTGAGACCGGCTGCTCGCACCCCGCACACATCTGGACCCTCCTGTTGGAACTTAAAAATATCCAGATGTTTACCTAAAGAAAAACACTGGTTTTTGAATGAACACCAACAGTGTGCACTATGAGTAAACTAGAATCGCCCCCCCCCAGTGAAAATTTCAGACTGAGGGCACTTACGCTATAGTTGCTCGTTAGATGATGAACAGAGCGGGGGACACGACTTTAAGCTGCTGCTCCTCTCTCATTACCCGAATGTGACACACGAGTGCCACAGGGAACCCCTGTGACTCCCCCAGACTGCCCACGGGGTCACCTGCCCTCCGTCCCTTTCGCCATCCCTCGTGCTTGAGAGGGTGGGCTCTTTGAATGTTTTTAGAAAGAGGGGAAACCCCAAGTTCTTCATGACAGATTTCTAAAAATTCCTGCCGCTCCCCTCTTGGGGGGCATTGCCTCATTCTCATTTAGTCATTAATGGAAAGCATATAACAACCTTCATGTCCCCTAATTGTTAATTTCCCGCCTTTATTCACGGGAGGACAGATGAGGGTCCACAAAATTAGAACGAGCACAGGGGGTACTGGCTAGAGTCTCTCCAAGGACCCTGCCTGGGAGCTGGGGTACAGAACTGACAGATATAACACCTCCGTGGACATTAAGGAGAAGACAGAAGACGCCCCCTGGTGGCCTGTTGTGTCGGTACAGGTGTTGGGGGGTGTTCATGTAAATGTTGCCCACGATTCTCTTCGCATTCTCCATAAGAATGGACGTTCCTACCCAGCATGCCTTTGGTGTAGTGCGCACACACAATAGCAGGGACAGGAAGTAAAGCTTGTCCTATTGACTGTCACGCTCCCATGGTCCGCCTGGACCTCTGACCCCCATGTGCCCCTCCCCCAGGTCTGAACGAGTGTGCCATCAACAATGGCGGCTGCTCCCACATCTGCACGGATCGCCGAATCGGCTACGAGTGCGGGTGCCCCCCAGGATACAAGCTTCTGGACAAGAAGACGTGTGGAGGTGATTGGCTTTCGGGCTGAGCCCCGCCCTCCCCTTTGTCTGCGAACTTCCGTGTCCGACCTCCTCCCCTGACGACCCCTGACCTACTTGCAATGAGGGTTACCATGACATTATTAATGCGTCTTCAATGCCCCCCCACCCCTCCTTCACAGATATAGATGAATGCGCCAACCCCAATGCCTGCAGCCAGATCTGCATCAACTACAAAGGCGACTACAAATGCGAGTGTTACGAGGGCTACGAGATGGACCCCGTCACCAAGACCTGCAAGGCGGAGGGTGAGGCATGCCGAGGGCGGCGACCCCACACACACTGTCCTTTGGGCCCGGCGCCAATCGAACCGCCTTCCTGTTTGCCGTTCCCACAGCATGCATTGTGTGTGTGTGTGTGGGGGGGGGGGTTGTCATTTAAATGCCTAGAGACTCGCTGCGGGGAGGGGATCATTTACAAAGCGCCTCGCTGTTCACTGTTTGTTGAATGTCGACGTTATTTTTCACATCCCCTGTTTGTGTGCTGCCTTCCCTGGCTTGTTGATGGTTTGATTGAGGGAGGCTCTAATTGAAATCCACATCCCTCATTTTCTGCAGTAACTTTCATAGGTGCTTCGTATCCTAAAAAGCTCTTGTGATTAGGACAGTCTGACACAAAATGGCCGCTGTTTGCCTCTCAGATGGGCAATGCATTATCACATTCATTAGTTACTCTCCGTATAGGGCTCTTTGAGAGAACTGTATAAATGCTATACGTCATCATTATCACTGCTTTTTATTAATGAAGCAGGGTTTGGGGCCTGTTTTCCTTTCCGCTGGTTGAATTCCCGGGTCAGAAGTCCTGCTAAAGAAAACTTGAGCTCGTAAGGTCCTACCTTAGGCTGGATAATTGTGGGCTGTCACATGGACTGCCCGCTTCCTACAGGTATGTTTATGCCAAATGGGTTGAGACCGTCATTAGTACTGGCTTAGAGGGTCCTTTATTTCAGTCCAATTTCCGGCAGTTCAACGGGGTTAACTGTGAGCTTTAGTTTCAAGTCTCTGTAATGAGGAGAGTCAATTTGAGGTGAGTGATGTAATATAACTGTATTCCCATCCTCGTGGATTTATATAGAGCTTTCTAGAAAGTGCCAGCAGGTGATTCAGTGACAGTCTCCTCCTGTCACACACCTTGATGGATGTAAACAGAGTCCCCACGCTCAGCGGTGTGAAACCTAATTTAGGACCCCAGTACGTCTGTGAGGTTTATCTCCTGCCGTACGTTTCCAACTCTCCTGTGTTTCTCCAGCATCCTGTCCATGTGGCGCCTTAATGTGTTTGTTCACGTTTCACCCCCAGAAGCAAATGTTCCTAGAAGCAAATGTTTACAATCTGCTGGACACGCGTCGCCGTCCACGTCCCTGCACTCTCCGGGTCCTGTCGTTGCATGTTAAAGCTCCTGTACCGCACTGGAGGGCTTAAGCAGAGGGGAAATTCCGTTTTCAGCAAAAGAGAGAGAAGACCTTTGCTCTCCTTCTGCCAACTGCGAGTCCAGTTCAACTCATTGGGCTTCAGTTCACGTTCTTGCCATCAGCAATTATTCTCTGACAGGATTTGCCGAGCCTTCAGAACATCCGCCGTAAAGAGAAGTCGTCAGATGTCCCTAAATGGATCCTGAAAGTTCAATCTGCTTTTGTGCAGCACGTCACGGTTCAGGGGTCCGGGCGATCGTGTTGGACATGGTGGGGGTTTGAGCAGTGCTGCCTGTGATCCTACCTACTGACGCTGGGGGTCATCATGCTAGTTTCAGCGTGCGGCCCCTCCAGTCGATGCAGATGTGGCCTGTGGTTCCTGTAGCCTTTCTCTGCTGTGTATGCGTCGATGACAATAAGCGGTTTGCATTTCAAGTGGTTTGAACCCCAGCGAAAGTGCATGAGGGTTTGCCGGGGAAATGAAAATATTGTTCGATTACTGGAGGAAAGTCCGATCCCGTTAATCGTCACCATCCTCCTTTCACACCGTCGGTCATGTGACGGAGGACGAGCCCAGTACACACCGTCGGTCATGTGACGGGGGACGAGAAACCACAGCAATCAGTTTAATTTATATAGTGTCTTTTTATATACTCAGGTGAAGAACAGTCAGTAAGAAAGTAAGTAAGTGTCTCGCAGTATAAAGCAATAAAATTGCAGGCAAAAATCAAACAAAAACATAAAAAGAGAAAATAAAATGGTAAATATAGTGCAGGTTCTGGTGCTGAAAATATGCAGCACTCTGGCTAAAGGGCAGCATAAAGAGCAGAGCGAGGAAACTGGTTCCAGGTTGTATATTTTGGGATACTATGCTCAGAGTGTGTGCAGGAAAGGGGATATTTAACAGCATGGTGACTGTGAGGACAGGGGATACTTAATAGCATGGTGACTGTGAGGACAGGGGATACTTAATAGCATGGTGACTGTGAGGACAGGGGACCTACCATATGAATCTGTCGGTGGCGTTATGGCAGAATCCACAGGTCGTACTTTCCAGTTGAAAGTCAGCCTTGGGTTCCGAATTTAAGCTTCTGGATTCCAGCAGGGACGGTAAACTGGCCTCTGCCATCACGTTTGGTTTGAACGTGCTTGGAAACAGGAATCCATAATTAGGGCTCTGTGGGTCTGACGCACAGCTTCAATGTGAAGGTTTTTATCTTATTTATTTTTTAATCAGAGGAGCCGGCAGAAAATTAAATAAATATTAACATGGGATCACGGACTGGTTCCGTTCGCTCTCCTCGTCCCTGGAGTCACATGAGTAGACAGGGGCGGGGCTAAATCGCCACGGCTGTCTCCCTGCTCTGTACCGATCCCTGTGTCCTCCCCGTTTGCCACATCAGGCAAGACCCCCTACCTGATGTTCACCAACCGGCACGAGATCCGCCGCATCGACCTAGTGAAGAGGGACTACACGCAGGTGGGGCCCACGCTGAAGAACGTGGTGGCGCTGGACGTCGACGTGTCCACCAACAGGATGTACTGGTGTGATCTGTTCCACCGCAAGATCTACAGGTAACCGGCACGAAGCTTCTGGCACACCGTGACCTCTGACCTCAGTCTGTGCTCATAAGAGTACTTGGATTGAAATGTTTTAAAATAGCTTTTCCAGAAGAAAGGTGAAGTAAAACTCTATAGTCTTAAAATATTTTGAGATGCTAGGATATTTTCAGTAAAGCAAGCCAATCCTCAGGCTGGGTTTTCTGGGCTCTGGTCCAACTCTGGCCATCTGAAATACCCAGAGGCGAGCTTCATTCCTCCAGCGTCTCTGAAACACAGTTGAATGCAGCGCGTCGATCGCAATCATGCCTCTGAAGCCTCGTTTTAATCTTCACGCGGCACTGACCTCGTTCTCTCTGCTCACCGAGATGCTTAGAAGAGGAACGGTAATAGAGGCCTCTGACGCAAGTCCCCCCAACACCCAACAACGCTGACTCTTCTCGAAAACAAAGTTTAGGAGAAGAAACAGCCAAAACTTTGGTGGAACTTCACCCAGTTCTCCTTCTTAGCTCTGCTGGCGAGTCTCAGTGCTACATACCGTGATTTATGTGGCGGCCCTCCTCCAGTAATTAATTCTGATTAGCGCCACTCAGGTCGATGAGACCTTACCCTCCAACAGTAATTAAGATGTTTAAGGCCTGGACAAAAATGTTTGCAATTAGGATTGCAATCTGCTTTCTATGTTTATCCAATTAATACGGGGTAATTCTGGTCAGTATCCTTCTCGATGACCTGCAGACTAATATACCTCTCATTTGAACTGCAGGGATGAGTGGATTCTCCTTATCTTTGTCCTGTCCTGTTCTGCTGCCTATAAACTAGCCTAATTAGGTCACCGCCTTCCTAATAATAGACATCTCAGTGGATTGTGTTCGTAAGGGGCATTAGACAGAGATACTTCTCCAGAAGAGTGCCACTCTGTTCCAGTGTGCAGTAGAAGGAAAACAAGATATTAAGAGGGACTGGCTGTCTGAGGTTGTACTGGGTATTGCATGGCGTTGTGCTGTGCTGGGTGTGTCCTGCTGCAGGTCCATGCGAGTGTGACTGCGTGTGACTGTGACTGCGTGTGACTGTGACTGCGTGTGCTTGTCTGTTCTCTCTCCAGCGCGCACATCAGCAAGGCCAGTGACTCCTTCCAGCAGGTGACCCTGATTGACTCGGCGCTCTTCTTGCCTGGGGGTCTGGCTCTGGACTGGGTCCACAAGAACCTGTACTGGACTGACTCCGGGGACAAGAGCATCTCCGTGATGACGGTGGATGGCAAGAAGAGAAGGATCCTGATCAACACAGAGCTGAGCGAGCCCCGCGCCATCGCCGTCGACCCCAAACAAGGGTGAGACCTCTGGGTTCGACACTGGGAACGGGGGGGAGCCATGATTCATACTTTATGGGCTTTATCTTATCCTTAGCCAATGACATGTTTGGATAAATGAGTGACAGGGGAAGGAACACACTGTGGGCCAATCAGCTTTCAGCTTGGGCCAGTGCCCCTGTGGCCCCACCCATGTACACACCCCTGGGTGGAACCCATGTTGACTTGTACAATATAATTGGCGTCTCTCTTCTCTCAGATTTATGTACTGGTCTGACTGGGGAGTGCAGGCTAAAATAGAGAAGGCGGGCCTGAACGGAGTGGACCGCCAGATTCTGGTGTCCGAGATGATTGAGTGGCCCAACGGCATCACTTTGGGTAAGGGCTCGACTCTGGAGTGAAAGTGTTTCCCTGCTCTATAGTATGGTATTTACAGCCAGCCGGCCAGGAGTTAGCAGAGATGGATGGAGTAGGTAGCATACAGGGCATCTCGATGCTTTATTTATCCTTAGGGATGAGAATGTGGCCTAAAAAATGTGCTCAGGGCTATTTTGGGTTTGTGTCTCAGACTTGCCCAACAGACGCTTGTACTGGGTGGACTCCAAACTCCACCTCATCTCAAGCATCGACTTCACGGGCACCAACAGGAAGGTGCTGCTGTCCTCGGCAGACCAGCTGAGTCACCCCTTCGCTCTGACCGTGTTTGAGGTAAGCAGTGGGTGGCCAGGGTAGGGTGGGTCACTGAGGTAGGGTCGGGACACATGGCGCGAAGGATCAAGGCAGCATGAAGTAGGCGGGGCCCACCAAAGTGGGGTCAGGACACACGGCGCAGAGGAGCTGAGAAGCAAAAAGCTGGCGGGGCCCACTGAAGTAGGGTCGGGATGCACGGCATGGAAAAGCCGGACAGCACAAAGCAGGCGAGGCCCATTCAGGGTTTAATCTCATGCGATCCTGTAATTTATCTCCCAACCTCAAAACCGAACAGAATATAAAGCCTTCATTTCTCAACTTTTACGGCAGAATATTTGTGGAAGCCATCAGATCTTGGCTTGTTCACTGGAGGGCTGAGTGACCCCCGTGGGATCAGACGCGGCCGAGCCCGATTTTTAAAGCTTCCTCTTGCTACGACAGGAACCCGACGCTGGCATGACCTTTACGGCTCCAGATATTTGATATTTACATGCCGCCTGGGTTATTTGGCTGCTTATTTACAGCGAGTGTGGAACGCATCCTGCGATTGCCAGAGCCCCCAACCCCCCCACCCCCCTCCCAAATGTTCACACACCGGTTCCAGGGGATTTTAGCATTCCTGTCACTGTGTCACGCCGCACGCCTCAGGAAAAGGTGGCCAAGGACTCAGGGCCGCCGCTAATGACATTTTGGAGCCTGTTGTGTTTTTATTTTCTCCTGGCCAGGCGGGCAGAACCTGCGAGGTGGAGTGACTCATCCCGGGTCTAGTGTGACGCCGGCAGCCTTGTTGGGGCAGCCCAGCCAGTACCCTGTACCCCCCCAGGCTTACCGCCTGTGTGTTTCCCCGTCCCCTGCCGCCTCAGTCTTGAGAAATGCAGGAATATTAAGTGGGACTGGACCTGATGACCACCTGTGACGAAGCTGAGGAGCTAGATCGTCACCAGTTTAGATCCCGGAATGGGAAGGGCTGTTGTATTTCTGTTTGCTGAATCGGTGCCCCTGTGGATAGATAATTTGTTAAAAGCCTCCCTACAGGAACAGCTAAAGCTGCCCGTTCCCAGACACGGCTCTGTGCCGCTCAGGGATTCTTACGCTACCTCGAGGATTTATTTATGCCGCATTTTAATGCAAGAATCATTTAATTAACTGAGGTGCTTGGGAAGGTTACCACTTAGTGGTGAAACACAGGCCGTGGTGGGGGGGGGGGGCTTTGGTGTACAGCCATATGGGCAGTAACGCTGGCTGGTGAGGCAGGGGGTGCCGTGACAGAGCCACGCTCCACACACCGCTGACATGATGACAAGGCCGGGCCTCCCTTATAGCTCACCTGGTTTTTTTTTTTTGTTTCCAAGGCAACCAGATATTTCTACTTCTGTCGAAGGTTTCCTTGGAGGGCGATGGGGAAAGGATAAATAAAAAAAAAAATCCTACACTCGTGCAAACGGAAAATAACCCCCCCCCCCCCACAGAGAGCCTGGAATTTAGACATCTAACCCACCAGGCAGCTGGGTATTCTGGGCTGTGCAGTCTGCATCCAGCCCCCTCTCAGCCGGATCACATGACCGCATCCCTCAAACTCCTGATAGCGCCTGGTGGGTGTTTATGATGGACCCGCAGGGGCTTGTTCTGAATGCCGCTGATCGACAGGCTGACTCTTGGTCTGCAGGACAGGCTGTACTGGACCGACCTGCAGAGAGACGCCATTTTCAGCGCCAACCGTCTGACAGGCAGCGACGTGGTCACGTTGGCCGAACACCTGAACAACCCGCACGACATCGTGGTGTTCCACGAGCTGCGGCAGCCCAAAGGTCAGTGCCTCAGGCCTCCGGCGCATTCCGCAGCTCCCCTCCTCCTTCAAGGAGACATAAATTTAGGCTGAAAGTTTGGTGGCAGTGTTACAAATAAATCAATTTTAATAAGGCAGAAGGAGCTGAGGAGACTGATTGGCAGGTTTTGGGCACCAGGCTCACACAGTGGTGACCTCTTATTGGCTGTTATGGGTGATAAACGGGTTCTAAACAGGAAGTGACATCATGTGACTATAGGGGGGGCTAGGGGGGTTGGGGCAGCAAGATTCTGACAACATGCCAAGGTTTCCAGGTAGAAAAGCCTGTCTGTATTCCTGTGGGGC